AATAACCCGTAGTGATAAAAATAACACGTAGTGACATTGATAAAAATAACACGTAGTGACATTAATAAAAATAATACGTAGTGACATTAATACAAATAACACGTAATGACATTAATAAAAGATGTATATAATTCCAGTTGTTTTTAGAAGTAACCAAAACAGAAAACTTTTTCTTGTAATATACCGAAGATTTAAGTCTCCAAGAACGAGTCCCCCTTCAGGCAAAATGATGAATGAAACTCAAATTAATTTTTTTTTTATTTTCTAATTATGCAACGACTTGTGTTTTTAAAAAGTATCCCTTAACAAAAGATGAAATTAATACAATTCAACTCAATCGATTAATTGCTTGTTGAGTTTTTAAGGGATTTATTTTTTTTTCACTGCCAATCATATAAGAACCTTATTCTCGAAAGATATTGTTTGATAGGAAAATGATGAAGAAATGAATACAATTCAACTCAATTGATTAATTGCTTGCTGGGTTTTTAAGGGATTTATTTGTTTTTCACTGCCAGTCATATAAGAACCTTATTCTCGAAAGATATTGTTTGATAGGAAAATGATGAAGAAATGAATACAATTCAACTCAATCGATTAATTGCTTGTTGAGTTTTTAAGGGATTTATTTGTTTTTCACTGCCAGTCATATAAGAACCTTATTCTCGAAAGATATTGTTTGACAGGAAAATGATGAAGAAATGAATACAATTCAACTCAATCGATTAATTGCTTGCTGGGTTTTTGGGGGATTTATTTTTTTCACTGCCAGTCATGAACATTATTCTCGAAAGATATTGTTTGATAGGAAAATGATAAAAACAAAACCAATCTTTTCATAATTAACCAAAGAATCTTTAAAGGTTTTTCCATTAGTTTTCGATATATTGACTATTTTAATTACATTTCACATATATAGAAAAATATATTAAACGAGGTTCAAATACTTCCTTTTGTTATGTGACGGGTAATTATAGACTCTTTCCTGATGATTGTCATATGAATCTAATGGTAGCAGAGAAAACCTACTTCGAAAATATCCCTCTGATCACCCTTTACTATAACGAATATACAGGGCCATAATCAGTACATAATGCATCTATGTTTCTTATTTGTAATACTACCAGCAAGTTTTATCACATAACGTTGAAAAAGTTGACTACAATTAAATAGAATTTTAATAATAACTGGGCTGGTGTAATTACTCAGTAAGCTTTTTCCCTTTGATATTATTCAAGTTACTTTATGGCATGTATATTGAAATCAGTTGGACTATGAAAGTATTCATTTTTACAATATTTATAACTTTGAAAATCATTTATGAAAATTTTCATTCTGCTTTGCTGCTAAAATGAAAAAGAAAAAGAAATCAATCTGCTAGCATTTTCATTTTATGCCGTGATTGTAGGTGGCCTTTAAACATCAGACCTCAAAAGCTAATATTTCAATTTAAATGTAAAGTGCTGGGAACCTCGTCGTTCGCGTTTCTTTATACTATAGACGTCGTTGTCTGGGACATGCGGCGCTATTCTATACACCTGTTTAGTTCCAGGTCATTTTTAGTACATTTTTTGTTATGTAGGTTTGTATATCTATATATCAAGAAGCACTACAAATGAAACATGTATGCTGAACAAAAATATCTAGCAAAATCTAAGAAAAACAAGAGATTTATTATCTGTAATCATGTTTCATTTTAGCCCACTTTTATTTGCATGAAAACGTTATTTAGAGTACATATTCAATGTATGTCGTAGAAAGAATGAATCATCTTATTGATTGTCAACTGTTCATCAGTCGAGACTGTGTTCAAAGATCTTTAAAAGCAATTTATTGGCGAACGTTTAAGTGGCTGTCTCGTAAACTGGTATTTGATTTTAAAGCTTTTTGTTTTTGTTATGCATCTAGAAATGGCACGTTTTGTTTTTAAAGGGCACAGTTTTAACAACTTAATAATCCCTATGTAGGTACACTATATTTCCTAAGTAACAAACAATCAGTCTGGATATATGATGTCTAATTCTCCTTAAAAAAATAGAGAGAAAAAAAACAAGCAGAAATTTGGATATCCGTTTCTTCACCATATTCCTAAGAAACCATCAGTCCAAAGCTATTTTGAATCTCACCTGTTACGAATTGCTTTAATGTGTTACCAAGATAGTTTTTATTTCTTGTATATTCGTGTTAGGACGTTTATTCGGTTGCATAAGATCACACTATGGTACCCTTATTTTAAGGGTATACTGATAATAGAGACGGTTGAGGAAATTAGAATTTTAAGTTTAATTATTTTTCATTATCATACAAGTACTATATTATAGTCTTATCATAATTACAATTTATGAGAGCCTCATTTAATTCGCTTTATTAGAAATAGCCATTTTCCTGATGTTCACTTTCAAGGCACATTTTAGAGTAATTCCACATGTGATGAAATGTGATAGATATTAGTCGGGCGTGGCCTAGTAGTTAGCGTGTCAGAGTGCGAAATGATCGGTACAAGATTCAATATGGAGTGGTGCTGAACGTGCTCAACATTCTCAACTTCAGGTTACATGTGATAGTCAATCCCGTTATTTGGTTCAAAGGGCCAGACAATGTCCTTGTGGTGGCGGGTGTTGTTGGCTGACTACCATTCCTCTGATCCGTAGTTTAAAATCATAGGGAGCTATACCTGGTCTCTGACTTGATCCTATAGCCTATGTACGCATAAGCCGCCGTTAACACGTTGAAAAGTCCAATTTCCCATAGTTTCATGTATACACTTCTACTAGGATACATTTTACCTGTCTCATTCGAAATTTTTTGTACTTCGCCAGGCAAGAGTAGATTTTCTACATTTGTAATTATTATTAGTTTGATATATATATTATGACAAATTGATTTGAAAATAATTCTGCTAGTAATTTGTCGATTTTGTTTTCATGAATAAGAAAAATGGTCAGTGAAAGTATTTATAGCATACGCGTGTTTACTTCTTTGTTTGTAAAATACGGTATTCTATCTCCTAAAAACTTGGCGGATCGCGGGTTCAAATCCAAACATGCTCGCCCTTTCAGCCGTGGGGGCGTTATAATGTGACGGTCAATCCCACTAGTCGTTGGTAAAAGAGAACCCAAGAGTTGGCGGTGGGTGGTGATGACTAGCTGCCTTCCCTCTAGTCTTACAATGCTAAGCTAGGGACGGCTAGCGCTTATAGCCCTCGTGTAGCTTTGCGCGAAATTCAAAAACAAACAAACAAACCAAAAACGTCTTAATAATGTTATCAATCAAGTCAGATATGTGCGTAAGTACTACCTATCCTGGATTCAGTTGCTTTGTTTGTCTGTTTATAGCACAAAACTACACAATGGGTAATTTGTGCTGTACCCACCACGAGTGTCGAAACTCGGTTTCGAACGTTGAAGGATTTCAGATTTACGGTTGTGTTAGATAGAGGCTAATTTCCCCGTGGGTTAACTATAATAAGATATTGTTTTGAATATTTTTAAACTAACTTTTTGTGTAAATATATGTTAGAACCGCCTCTTATGTGTGTGGATCAACTTTTTTCTTTTTTTTTACTTCTGGTTGTATACATATAAATGTTTTTGGGCTTAATTGTTTATTTGTGTAGATTGGTTACACGAAAAGTTGATCAGACTAGAGAGAGCCACTTATGAAGGAGCAACAACAAGAGTGAAGTCAGTATATGGAGAAGCGGACAAGTCTGAAGTAAAGTTGGGCTACACCAAGGATCAACCATTAGACCCCTGCTTGGTCATCATTGTCATCGACGTGTTGAGCAAAGAGCACCGTAAGAGACCTCTGTGGGATGACCTTGTCATCGCTGATGACCTTGTCTTAACAGCTAAAATCGAGCAGGAGTTACAAACACAAGTTAAAGTGTGGCAGAAAAGTTTGGAAAGAAGAGGCTTAAAAATGAATGCCAGAAAAACGGTAGTCATGATGAGTGAAGGAGGTGAGAAGAAGAAGGTTAAGATCACAGATGTAAACGGGAAGTCGCTGAAACAAGTAAAATACCTTAGGTACTTGGGAAGTACAATCCAAAGTGAAGGAGAAAGTGAGAAAGTTATGAGAGACAGAATTAAAGTGGGTTGGAGGAAATGGAAAGAAGTAGCCATAGTCATCTGTGACAAAAGGTTACCACGAGCACTGAAAGACAAAGTTTATATGATCCTCTAAGGAGCCGAGACCTGGACCCTGAAGAAAAAAGAAGAAGACTTGTTGATAAGAACAAAAATGATAATGCTGAGATGGCTGTTGAAAGTGTCGCTCAAAGAGAAGAGAACGAAAAAGGAAATTAAGGAAATGGCAAAAGTCTGTGGAATAGAGGAAAAGGCAAGAGAAGCGAGGCTGAGATAGTTTGGTCACATGAAGAGAAGAGAAGAAAAACAAGCAATAAGGAGAGCATTAGAGCTGCCAGTAGCCGCCAAGAGAAGACATAAAGGCCAGTGAAGCGTTGAAAGGATGGGATTAAAGAAGACATCAACGAGAAGGGAATTACAAAAGACCTAGCAATGAACAAAGATGGCTGAAGGAGGGCAACAGGTGTGAAGGACAATGACCCTCTGCTAAAGGAAAAAAACTAAGAAGAAGTGTATGGTGTCTATAATGTTAAATTATATACATACATAACATTCTTAACATTAATTATATAATCAAGCATCTTACATTACTTATACATATATACAGGTATTTTATATATAACTTTACATTTGAGTGTTTAACGAATAATTTTATATTTAGGTGTTTGTTATCTTTACTTGTATATGTAACTTTCCCACGATTAACAATATAGTAAAGTGTTTCAAGTATTTTAATACATATCAAAGCGTGTTCTATTATAATTCATAACATTTAATTATAATTTTTCTCTTAAAACGGACAATCGATCCTACCAACGCAGCTTACTTATTTGTTTCAGAATTTCCTGCAATGCTACACAAGAACTACTTGCACATACCTGCCTGTAATTTTGAACTAATAGGCTAGAAGGGGGGAAGCTAGTCGACAGCACTCATTTTCAACTCTTCGACTACTTTTATCTGATTGAAGAAGGAGATTTCACCTTCGCTCTTAATAATAACCAACCATGAATCCTGAGATTCACTGTCCTGGCACATCCTATAAGACCACACCCAATCCTGTATCGTTTATGATAGGATTAATGTAGAGCTATCGACGCAATAATAAAACATAAAATTATTTTCATGAAACATTTTTTTTTTCAGAAATTCAGAAAACATTAAAGCATGTTTAACTTATGTAGAACAATTATGTTAGTACACTGAAGTACAATGATGTTAACATTGTAACATAATAATAACAAAGAGTACAGTTAATTATGTTCCACATTTTTTATTAGCGCAGACAATATTAAGACACTCACACTCAGTACAAACAAAACGTGTATTACAAAAATACAATTAGTAAACCACTGTGTAATAAACAATTCAGTTGTTTAACACTGTATGTCACTTAACAAGCGAAAAAGCTCATAATTTACAGCAAATTATTAACTCCAGCAGGTAACCGCGTACAAGTATTCAAACATATATAAAAAATCGAATTTGGTAATTCTAAGGTATTTACTAGTAAGACTGGCGGGCATTAAAACAAGTTATCTCTGTCTGTTACCCACAACCAGTAGAACGTTTTATGCAAGACGAATTTACTTCACAAATATGACTTTATGAAAAATCTTTAAGCCACTACTTATTAAAAGCTGGAATTACAGACTAGCATACAATACAAAATTACACACAGCCATATATATATATATATATATATATATATCACAAACACACGCACACGCTTAACAGAACTAACACGATATTGTTATTAAAGCTATATAATCTAAAGATATAGTAACGCTTTCGCTTTGTTAAGAACAGCTCTTCAGCCAATTAAGTATTAAGTAACCTTTCACGCGCACATTTGGGCTTACTTTCGAATCAAGACAATAAGTCTTAACAATTGGTAATACATTTTATCGTTTATGTATACGTATGTATCTATTCATGCATTCATGTGTGTGTGTGCGTCTATATATATATATATGCACGTATTTAGGTCATTGTACATCTTGACAAAATTTACCCCTAATCTATATACATACATATGCTTTGTAAAACGTGTTTATATATTTTTCAAACTCACAAGCTATTTTTTTATATAAAAATCCAGTACTAAATCACATGTTCTAAAGAAAAATAATTATCCTAGGAAACCGGTAGATGATCGCAGGAGACACTCATGAATAATATTTCTTTAAGGAAACAGTCTTAAACACAGCTCTAGGTCGCCAGAAGTAAAAACATTAATGTAAATAATGATAATAAAAAGTAACGATTGTTGTCTTACCAAATATATTAAGTTTCAAATATTGTTCCCTAAAACTAACATTTTTGTTTATTTTGAGAACGTTTTCAAAGCAGTTACAATTTTATTTTTATTTTTAGTAACATCGCTTCAGGGTAAGAAGGCTTTTCGCACGAGTCCTTGACTTTTTTTTTCTAATAATACTTTTAAGAAATCGTACTTAAAATTAGAACTTAGCTTGCACCTCTCTGTCAAAAGATTTATGTTTGGTAGATTATTATTTTATATTTCACAATGAAAAATATTTTACGACTTATATCACAGTGAGAAGACCTTATTTCATTGATTTTTAGCAATAGTTAACTATTTTTACTTGTGTGATTTTCCAGTTAATTAAACTTATTTTTATGAGCAATAGTTTTATGCTGATTTATATTTAAGTAATAAAGATAATGAATTAAACATTTGCACATAAAATTTTCAAAATTTAGTATACATTAATATGCATTTATTCTTATTACTGCAATATAGCCCATATACGATATTATATAAGAATCAATTATTTATTCCTTCTGTAAGCCGGTTGTAAAAATTTTTTTAAACTTTGATCTGTTTTCGTTTCGATGAAAAAACAACGTATACCAACTTATGAACAATTTATTACACCAACTTTACGCCAACAATATTCATTTCATATTCAAACAAGGATAAATATTCAGAATGCCCTAAAGAACAAAGTAAACATAATTAGTTACATGTAATTATAACATATATATATATACATACATATACATATAGAACAATTCTTGACTTTTGATATATATATATATATATTTATTTTTATTTCTCGGGTGAAAATGAGGGTATAATGATAATTGTTACATTCACGTCATAAAAATTAATTCAAACACAGTTAAAACATTTCACCTTCTGTACGCTATTGTGAATTATAAACAGAAAAAAAGTTTATGGACACTTGCTATGTTATATAGAAAACCAATACACGATTAACATAGATTATTTAGCTTGAATACTTTGCGTATTTCATTCTAATAACCATACAAACTGAATAAGTTAATGTTTATCAAATATTAATGTGCAAATTTATTCACACGTACGTTAAGTACTCTAAACTTCTAAAAGGAAGTGTTCTTTAGTTTTGGTTATTATACAAAACGCGTGTTTAATTTTTTAGAAAAATTCATGTACCAAACTAACTTCAGTAGTCTTTTTTTTTCGTTCAGGTTTACTTCAAAATTGGTATTGTTACCAGCAACAAACCTATTATCAATTACAACGCTAAATATAATATATAGCCAAATATTGTATTATTCACAACTAAACAGAAATTATACAACGAGATCGATAATAAGGAGAAATTATTCAAATTTAATGTTGCTAACTGCAACACGAAGAGGATTTAATATCGTTAATATAGTGTTATTACGTTGATTTTATTAGTGTTATTGCGCTGATTTTATTAGTGTTATTAAGTTGATACGTAACATCATCTCCTTGTGTGAAGCACATTTTATTTGCAACTTTAGAGAATATATGTTTTTGTAATGAATTTTGTGTGGTTTGTACATCAGGTGAAGATTTTGTCACCTATTTTGTTCGTTCTTGAATAACAATGTTTTCCAAACTTTAGCCCTCCCCCCCCAGTGGCACAGCGGTATGTCTGCGGACTTACAACGCTAGAATCCGGGTTTCGATACTCGTGGTGGGCAGAGCACAGATAGCCCGTTGTGTAGCTTTGTGCTTAATTACAAACTAACAAACAAACCAAACTTTAAATAGAGGCATCCCCTATCGCAACAAAGTTTAGGTTGCGCCCCCTTCACATTAAAATAACTTTCGTAAGTAATAACAGCAAAATCAACATTTTCTTTACCTGTATTTAATAATTTTTTTAATTAAGAATACTCTTAAGAAATGAGTAAATGCGAGGGCAGAAAAATAAAGCTTTGAGAGTAAAGTGATAGTTTTGTTAGGTTATCATCGTCTCCAACTCTTTTGTTTCTTCCTTCGTTACTTATGGGCTCTCCCGCCAAAAGGCCGTCCTCCTCCCATCCACCAGTACGCGCGCCATAGTTTGGAAAACACTGACAAAAACAAGAGATGCGTTGAAAACAACGTACATTTAAAACACTGCTCTCCATTGGTAATAGCATTAAGTAAAAATTTTCATGTCCATACGGCGTCTTTCAGGAGAAAATTCTATGGTTCAGACAAAATGTTAGTAAATGATTTCATTCCAATTTGTGGAGGTTGGCCACTCGTCTTGTTACACTGCTTAGTTGTTACAATGTTGTCAGTCGAAGTGCGGATAGAACTGGAATAGCGACTACGAACCATCGGAGTAGTTAACCTCGTCCTTCGTTTCGCTCTCCGAGGATAACACATCTGCCTCAGATCAGCCTGCAATAGAAATGTTCAAGTAAATGAGTTTCTTTGGATAAAGGAAGGTGTTTCTAGGCTTACAATTTTCATCTTCAATTAGTCAATCTTTCCTTCAACAATCGAATAGTGGACAGATATAAAGGCAATCAGATCGAAAGGTAACTCTGATAGACAGATAGCTAGATAAACAGACAAATATAAAGAGATGGACAGACGGAAAGGTATACAGATACAACCATACGCATAACTATACAAACTCACAATCAGTTAGCCGTACGAACAAACAGACGGAAAGATAGTTAGATAGAAGAAGAAATAAATAAACTAATAAAGAAACATACAAACCATCAAATAAGTAAAACATTGAAAGTTTATGATATATAAATAGCTTTACAATGAAGGAAAAAATGATAAGGGTTGAGTATGTTATAGTAAAACTATATTAAATATGCAAATAAGCAAGCCACGACCACATCTTGTTAGTGATACCACTAAAAACTAATCGGTTTGGGGAATGGTGTGTGACAGTCCTTTTGGGAATTGTGTGTAACAGTTCTTTTGGGAATAATGTGTAACAGTTCTGTTCGGAATAGTGTGTGACAGTCCTTTTGGGAATTGTGTGTAACAGTCCTTTAGGGAATTGTGTGTTACAGTCCTTTCCATCGTACAATATTCATACTTTCAGGTCATAAAAATATGCATAGATGGGTATTTAGAAACTTCAAGAAGGGAATACCCCTTGTATACTTAATGGCATAGTAAAACAAAGAAACATGGATCAGTTTGAGGACCTTGGGCCATCTAGAAAAATACCCACAACAAATCATACCTCAACCGTAGTAATCAAAGTGCGGCGTCTTGTAACAGGCGACAATTCATAAAGGTCGATTTTCACGACATATCTATCTAACCGTTACATACCTCAAAGAGCTGGAAAAAGAAACAGATATTTATGCTATTCCATACGAAGACATACTGATCAAGTCGCCGACCCAGAGCCTATTGATTTCAGTGCGATCGAACTGTTGAAACGGCCGCTTGAATACCGTCATCCTTGCAAAGTATATGTATTATGGAAAGCCTTCAGGAAGGAATAGTGTGCTTGGACATGACAGCCTTACAACATAGTCTTTTGCGATGGCAACAACACGGTACGGTCGTCAGTTAGAGCATGACCAGACGTGACGACATCGATGGTTCAATATCATGTACTCAACAGTCTTCATGTTAATGCATTAAATAAAAACGATATTTAGTTAAAATAACAGATAAGCTCGTTTATAGACTAGATAATTATAATACAAAACTTACTTTTGAAATAGAACTTTCAGTGACTCATCTGAGCTACATAAATATTAAACAAGATATAATGACCAGGGTCTTCAGAGTATGTAAATCAAACAAGCATTCCGTGATAGTCACAAAATACACGTTTGCTGAAAGGTTACCTAGATTCTAGAACGAAAAAGTGGACCCATATTCTTATAAAAGACAAAAACTACACCACTGACTATAATAGCATTATAAATACTCCTAAACATTTGCATTGACTTGTCATTCGTTGTGTCATCATTTTATTTTAATGAAGTGGACATTGCCATAATCAAGTGTGGAAAGTTGTCTGTCATTCTTAAAACTCTAGCAGTTTATCAATATGTATCATTATGACAGAGCATGCTCAGTTCAAACCTTATATGGTACATATTTAGTTTGTTTGTTTGTTTTGAATTTCGCGCATACACTGTTCACTTGTATCTAAGCCTGTAATGTACGTTGACAAGCTACAAGTTAGACCTGAAGATATGGGTCAACTCGGATAATCAAACAGCTTCTACATCAGATTCAGTCAGCAAGACGTATACTAAGCTTTAGACTTTATAACCATATATTCAAAAATATATCATAGTTATCTAAAGTACTAGTTACGGTATTATTGATGCGATGTCTGTCTGTTTGTGTTTGTTCTAAAGCAAAACAACAGTGGGCTGTCTGCGGTGTCTACCGCGGGGAATAGAACTCCGGATTTTAGCGTTGTCAGTCCTTAAACTTACCTCTGTCCCACCGGGGAATGATTCTTTGTCATTAAGGGTTGCATGGTGGAAGGACACGTTTATATTATCCATAACGAAACCACCTCTTCGGTTTCTTTGAAGAAATGTGGGCTTTTTGTATATATCTTTATTGCGATTTATTTAAGATCGCAATAATTGCGGAAACAATGAAAAGGTCAAAGAATTAACACAACGTTACACTGATGACTTCGACATAATTATAATATTTAATATACACGCATGTATCTACGTGTAAAGTGTGCCTGTAGTTTTATGTTTGTTTGTAATTAAGCACAAAGCTACACAATGGGCTATCTGTGCTCTGTCAACCACGGGTATCGAAACCCGGATTCTAGCGTTGTAAGTCCGCAGACATACCGCTGTGCCACTGGGGGGCGTGTAGTTTTATGAAGTTAATAGTTACTGCAGCAGTTGCCACTTCTGAACTTGTATTTTAATTATTTTTTACAAATAATTATCTTAATTTTATGGTTGTCACCACTTTTGCTCAATATAGTTCACGTGTAATGTTTTACAGTGTTAAGTACGTTTAAATATGCAAATCAGCAAGTTACATGAAACCCACAGCCTATATAAAGTCACGGTGGAATTGGATGTAACAGAACTAAATTTTGATATAGATATATTATAAAAAGCTGCAGAGAGGAGGTGTGTATTCTGAATATGACATCCTCACGATGGGGCCTTTTGCAATAAAAACTCTGCTGCATGGTTACTGTCAAGATGCATGGCTTTCAGATAGAACATTAACAAACTTGACGACTTGGACTATACCGACGTGGTGAGCTCCGAAACTGTTATAATATAACGTGCTCAACCTCTATATTCCTTGGATTATATAATATCATTGCAATGTTTGCAATCAAATCACAATACATTTTTAGGCTTCATTTATAGACTTTAATAAAATTCAAACAATTATATATATATTTATTTGTGGTTATAAATAATTTATACTCATGTTAAGCATAGCCCTTATAATGGTTTTGTAACTTCAAATAGTAATATCTGAAAAGATATTGAAGGAATGAAAATTTTTAACTTTGCCAGTGATTTGTGTAAATGCATTGAAGGTAAATTTCAAATATATAGTGGCACAACCTATTAATTTGTATATAATGAAAGTACAGGAACACCAAAACATATCTATAGCCAGTAAGTAATACTCACCCCTCTCAAAGGAGAAAACAACTACATGCTAATATTCAAATTCATCTTGGATTTTAGTGAGACTTTTGTTCAATATAATTTGTAATCTTTAAGGGCTTACGAACATTTTAGATTTGTTCAAAAGTCCAAAAATCCAAAGAATAATATTCTGGCGAACTTAAGCTACAAAGCAACCTCAAGTTCTTAAAAACACATTAATAAAAGTTCTTAAAAATACATAAATAATGTTTTATTTATTTATTTATTCAACCACGTCTATGCAATATCCGCTTGATAAAGTAACTCCTTGTTAGAGTGTATATGTAATTATATGCAAGAGGTTGATTCTCGTAAGACGTTGAGATTAATAAAAACACACACATATATTCGTATTTCCAGTTTGGTTTAGATAAGTTATCAAAGAAAAAGCAATGACCTTTTAGCGCAACATTTCCAGCATTTTTCTTTTTTCATTAGCTTGTTATGTAAATAACATTTAATCAAATGTTGACGTTCATCTAGTTTCTACAGAGTCCTCTAGTGAAGTACAGAGATGCAATACCGTAGTGTACTTTTCTTCTGCTCAACCAACACTCCATCGAAAATTACATATAAATAATATTGTTAAAGGCAACTGAAATAATACTTATAAAACAGTAACTAAAAAATAGAAAACGGTAAAAAAGTCTTCTTTTATAAGTCAGGCTTAATATTCTTCACTTTTCTGGGCCTAGTTATGTTGTAAAACCACCATTAAAAATGAAGTAATGAAGAAAGACTGTTTAGATGGTATTATGAAGGTGTTAACTTTCGTTAAAACAAATGCCTTTTCTTAATACACATTTTGTAATATCTTTTATGTCACTAAATTTCCTGAGGATCCAATCGATTTCAAAGTAAGTTAGAATGAATATTCAATTAAGAGTTCGGGAAAAAAATTAAAGGGTTTCATATGTAATACTCGCACAACAACGACTAACAAATTGGAAGATATTAATAATACGTTTCCTAAATATTGTAAATAATTTGAAGAATATGCAAGCGCCCCTTATAATATTAAATACAGTACCGTTAAAGTTGAGTAAAAGAACTTCTGCCTGCTGATGCGGCGCACTTAAGCTATCTATATAATTCTGTTGTTATTATAGAAAACATCAGGAAAAGTGGAGAAACAACTTGAGATAGCTATGTCCCACGTGTGACACAAAGCCACAGAAACAGATGCAAAAAAAAACTATTAGTACTTAATACGATATTTCATTGACCGCTGAACAAGATACGAAAATCAGCTCAGGTTGCAAACCTTATCACTCGTATCAGCCAACTTATATTTAGTTATGTTCATGAGGCTAAAAATAATGATAACCAAACCTATAACTCAGCTAAGATAAGTCAGACCTGCTCTAAAGATAAATGTGACGTAAGCCATCGAAACACCATCTAACAGGTTAGATATACAGCGTGTTGGTAATGGCTACAAAAGATTTCTTTAAAATGTTTGTGTAACACGGTTAAGGGAATTTCCAGAGCACCTTCAAGTGTCTAAATACTGTATATACGTAGTGATATACCACTATGTGTAGATTAAATTATTTTCTACCACTAAACAAAATATCACTCATGCCAGAGGTGACGTGCATACAGATTTCACTGGCGTCGGTTACATAGTTACAAAGTCCTAATGAAAACTCTCAAACTAAAAATGATTATTCTCAAATGACAAATCCTTAAACATAAATTTCATTTGAATTTCGTTTATACGGCATTTTTAACATAATATTAACTTGAAGATTTAACTGGAAGTTATTTGTTATTCAAAAATTTAATGTCAATATTGTCAAAGATCGTAATTTAGTGTCAACAAAAAACACGTGTTTGGCATGTTACCCCATTACATATGTAAGGTTGGCCTCCTAGTTTTTTTTTTGTTTTGTTTTTCTAATTACTAGATAACATTATAGTATTAAAGATATATTCGTACAAGATTTTGAAGTGGTATTTGGCCACCACAGTTTTTTTTTACAGATACTGAAAACAGGACAATTCTTAAAGGCTGCTCTAGTTTAACAATTGTTTTCTTTAACTACGATTATAACTCATGTAACGATATATACGATTACAGCTTATAAAAGAGTTCTCTCAATAGATTTCCACAATAAATTACATGGATCCAACATTATAAGGTGAACAGCTGATGATTAGTTTAAATTTTAACACTACCTATATTTCCCGTTCAAGAGGTAAAGATTATACCTCTTACTCTTGGTCACCAACAACTGACTTGGGAAAAAAACAACCTCTAACTTTCACCAAAACCACTTTCAATTAATTAAACATTATCTGAAAAACATTTGGGCGACAAACAGTCAATTTTATCGGGCACGAATAACAAATAGTTGGTCTCTTTCTTAAATAAGTAAACATTAAAAATATTTGAAAAATTATCAATTTTATAAACTAATAGAATATAGTTTAGAGTTAATAATAGCAGGAACAGGAAGAAAAAAAGCATATATTACCCTGAAGTTCTCGCTCATGAAGCAGTAAATAAAAGGGTTGACGAAACTGTTAGCCATGGAGAGCCAATGACAGCAGAAAAAGGCGGAGACAAAAATAATGTATTCTTTTCGGCTCTGAACAATTATAAAGCTTTTTTTGAAGTATATCAACATGTTGAAGGTGTGAATTGGGAGCCAACACACAGCAAAAAGCAGAACCACAACAGCCAGCATCTTGATAACCTGGAGACAAAAATATGTTTTTTATTTTTGAAAATGTCAAAACTTTACATGACAGTTGTTGTTTCTTTTCGAATAAAGTTTTTATATTGAGAATTACTTTTTGTTCTTTAAAGTAGGAAACAGTCTCTAGAGTTAGAGCAGTGAAAATTCCAGGTTTGGGGAGTATCAAGTTTAATCAACTGTACATAGTGAGAAACTAAAAGGGGGACTAGTTGTATGCCAGTGTCGGTGTGCAGTTTTAACAAGAGGGACTAGTTGTAAGCAAGTGTCGGTGTGAAGTTTTAACCCTCAAACACAGAGAACGCCTCAGAAAAATTTATAACACTAAACTTCATCCCACTTCTTTTTAGTAAGCTGATTTTTACAAAATATTTCAGGAAATGCTACACATGTGTAAAAGTGTTTCTAGTATATCTTAGTGTAAATTTAAGAAATTTTTTCACACAATAAAGAGATCAACGAACCAAGAATAAATGGACAAAAAAAAAGTCATGTAAACTATGAAATTACTATAACGAAGACCATTAAGATAATGGGATAAAAATTCCATACGCTCGTATGATGATGCTTTTATATTTTTACCAGTTTTGATAACTGGGGTGAAAAAAGCCTTAAGTATTAATCTGAATAATAGAATATGTTTTCTATATTTCTAGGAGTGGATTATGTAACTATATGTAGATTTATGTCATCTTTTATGCGTTTACAGCAAGGAGACACTTTTGAGCTTAGTTGTTTTTTTTTCTTTTGTGTAATTAGTGGTTCGAAAGGCTTAACTTTGCCTCTTTCAAGAACAAACAAAAGAATATTTTGCACTGCTCTAGTCCAGCAGTAAGAGACTGAACCTTGTTTTAGCATACGTGTAATACTTCTTGATGATATTCTTACATAATGAAGACTGAACCTTGTTTTAGCATATGTGTAATACTTCTTGATGATTTTCTTACATAACGAAGACTGAACCTTGTTTTAGCATACGTGTAATACTTCTTGATGATTTTCTTACATAACGAAGACTGAACCTTGTTTTAGCATATGTGTAATACTTTTTGATGGTTTTCTTACATAACTCAAGGGTGTTGATTACGAATCTGGAGATGGCGCCACGTTTTGAGGTATTCAACATGACGCCTAAGATGGCTGCTAAAACTGAAAAATTGCAATATTTCAGCTTCTAAAAGTGATAAAGTAAAATTTTTGACATTTAGACCTGGGTTTATGGGATCTAAGAAGACAAACTTGATGTTAAAAGTGCAATGATTATAATATGATTTAACAAATGTTATTTTAACTAGTAGAATGACTACCAAGGGAATGTTAAAAAAAGAGTCGTATGGATGTCTTTGCCTGAATCTGATTAAGCCACAGACGACAAACCTATATGTTCATTCAAAATAAAATTGTAAGCATATACTTGTGTATGCGCTATAAAAAAAAGAAAAAGTGTACATTTTCACATATGTTGTTGCTATGGGCAAAACTGCTGAACATTCATAGTAACAATTTTCCTATTATACTGTAGGCCAATAAATACTTTAATACAATCCTTTAATTCAAGAAATCTACCAGAAGAACAAAAGTTTTCCATATCATAATAAACAGCATACCAATCTGTCAAATTATGTAAAAAACCACCCAGAAACATTACACGCGTCAAAACAAGGTTCAGATAAAAATTAGGCAACTGGACTACTTAACATTTAGATTAGATTCACAAACATCTTTTAAAAGGCAAACTGGTGTCTTTACCTGTTTTACACTCACAAAAAACAAATGTTTAAACAACTCTACTTATTCAATTATATTTTAAAAGATCTGCTGCTTTTAATCATTAGTAGCTATGTGTTATTTTTCTATTAAGCTTTTAAATTAGTTACATTTATGGATAAAATGAGAAAATAAATAATTTGCACACTTTGATGCTTTTCAAACATTTTAGACTACAATAGTTTAATTTGATAGACAGAACAAATCAAAAATAAAAGAGGAATGGAATGTTTTAATCAGTTTGCACGGAACTGTATATTGAATAAAACAAGGCTTCTGGTTTTTACGATTGTTTCTTAAGCGTTATATTACTTATCTTACTTCTTTATTTAGCTTCGTGAAAAGGAAATGTCCACATGAATAAATATTAAATAAGGTGAATATTGCTCATGTTGATTGTTTTTCTGTTTACCAATATATATATATAATTTTTTTAGCGACAGACAAAATAGAAACTATTTTATTTGTTTGTTTGTCTGTTGTTAACCAGAAAGTTATACGATGGATTATCTGTGCTCTGCTCACTGCGAGGATCGAATCCCGAATCTTATCGTTAATATCCCTCGAGCTTACCGCTGAGTCATCGAGGAACAAATTAGTTATGGCATAATGGAACCATTTAGACTACCAACGGAAACATAGTTACTTAACATGTTATTCATGTTAATATCAATTTTATAGAAATATTAACTACGACTTCAGTCAAAGAGTCCCAAGTGGCACAGTGTATATCTTCGGACTTACAACGCTAGAAACCGGGTTTCGATACCCATGGTGGGAAGAGCACAGGTAGCCCATTGTATAGCTTTGTGCTTAACTTCAAACGAACAAACAATCAGTCAAAGTACGATTCCAACCTTATTTAATTAAATGAGACTTAATACAGACGCATCAAGTTTTAGATAATAAATAATCCACAAAAAAATATTAATCAACCAGATAAAGTTTCCGAACAAGATATTTCTTTTAATAAGGTGTGTTACTGATGAATACATATAATAATAATTAGAATGTTGCACAACAAGTGGCGTTTTTTATAAAGAGCCTTACCTTGGTCTTCGATTGAAGCTGTTGTTTATCCCGATCATCATGAGCATTACCTGGTGCACTATGCTTCCACATCTTCAAGCCAATCGTAACATACGTGTAGGTTAAAACCAACAATGGGATGAGAAATGTTACAGCGAACACGACGAGTGTGTAGACCTAAACCAGAAACACATAAAGACATATCCCTCTTAACATGTATACCGGAACAATACTCTCAGATTCTAGTTTTCGTAGAATTTTAATAAAATTAATTCATCTATGTGATTGGTTTAGGTCTACACACTCGTCGTGTTCACAAACACATAAAGACATATCCCTCTAATCATATAGATGAATTAAATTTTATTAAAATTCTACGAAAACTAGAATCTGAGAATATTGTTCCGGTATACATGTTAGTGAATACGACGAGTGTGCAGATCTAAATCACAGACACGAAACACATAAAGTATTTTATTACACACATAAATGTAATAAGTTTTATTAAAATTCTGTTTGGGTATAATCATATTTTGAGACGTCTAAAATTTCTCAAGCTATGTTAAGTGGGTTTAGACAGTAGCTCTGCTAGTGGTATAAACATATAACACAGTTTCATACAAATGTAAAATTTCTATTATCAGGTAAAACTAGGCACGTTTCTTGTAGTTATGCTGTTAAGGTATTCCTGATTTATGTACGTTCTGCCACATTAGTTCACACTTTTAGGCCTGTTAACAATGTATACTACATTTCGGGGCCTGTTAATAACGTTAAGGTATATAATAATGTTAAACGTATACTAGTCACATCCGTAAGTTAGACGGTATCATTTTATTTCAGGCATATAACTTCATGGCGATGTTAGGGTATACTATGTGATATCAGATTAGCTCATGCATATAGCTTTATGGTAGTGTTAAAGTATACCATACGTTATAAAAATAGTTCAGACGTATAACTTAAAAATGATGTTAAGGTGTTATCAATTTAGTTCAGGCATATAGTTTTACAGGAGTATTAAGGCATACCATAAGTTTTAAAAGTAGTTCAGGCTTATAACCTTAGAATAATGTTGAGGTGTGTCATGTGTTATCAGATTAATCAAAGCATATTATCTTGCGGTAATAGTAAGGCTCATTTAATTACTTGTCATCAGAAAAGTTGAGGCTTATAAGTTTTGTGGTATTATTAAGATATACTTAAGTTATATTGACCTAGAAAATATGTGTCATGAGACGAGTTTTCGTATATTAACTGCTCTTGTATGTATAATTAAGTTTGAAATTGGTATTTTTGTACTTATCATGATACCTCACATCGGTATACCACAAATCGATCAGCAAGTTTCCTGTTTTGTCTTTTTTAACTGTTTTTAAATTTCTAAGTTAATAACTTAATTAATAAATCCTAAAATATGATATATTGCAATACACATAATATCGCTTTTATTTTATAGCTTTAATATATTATCTCATACATTTAAGTATTTGTTTGAAATATAAAGACAATCAAAGTTTCTAAAGTTAATCACCAAAAATATATTACATTCAAATGTCATTACAGCTGTTAAGACATTCAGTTAACCAAATCCTTGTTTACATCACTTGGATGAATTTGACGTAATTAATCAAGTTTAAAGAAGTGTTTTAATGAAGTCGTCACATCTCATGTCTTAAAGTTATATTCTTAAGTGATATAGAAATTCATTTAACTTTAAAGGAGAATATAACATTTTTGCTTGGGTTGTATTCGTGGTATCCTTTAACGCCTTTATGAAAGATTATTGGTATCCTTTTCCAGCAACACGTTTAACGCTAAAAATTTAACTATTCTTTAATCGTACTATTCAAGCTCGGCCCGGCATGGCTAGGTGGTTAGGGCCCTCGACTCGCAATCTGAGGGTCGTGGGTTCGAATCCACGTCCCACCAAACATGCTCGCCGTTTCAGCCGTGGGAGCGTTATAATGTGGCGGTCAATCCCAATATTCGTTGGTAACAGAGTAGCCCAAGAGTTGGCAGTGGGTGGTGATGACTAGCTGCCTTCCCTCTAGTCTTACACTGCTAAATTAGGGACGGCTAGTGCAGATAGCCCTCGTGTAGCTTTGCGCGAAATTCATAACAAACAAACAAACAAGCTAACATGTTGAATCTTTTATTATTCCCCTCTTAATTGTATTGAGCAATGCGCGAAATTCAAAACAAACAAACAAATATTCAAGTATTATATGAAGTATATTCTGAAACAAAGCAGAAATTGCTATTTTTTTAAAAGGTCTTTTTATTACCAGTTAACGGTGTTGTTGGAAAAAAAGTGCTTGTTAAGGAAACGTTTATATTACAAAAGTAGGACAAGTGGTAAAATATCAAATAACACCACTTAAATGCTGAATTAAGCGTTAAAATATTTTATAACTAGGAAAAAACCTAATTTCCAGGATACTTAAAGCGTAGAAAATTATATTTGTGATTTCAAACTCATTATGACCAATTAGAAGCGCATTCCCTAGATGATTTTCCAGTTCTTGGCATTATGACCTATTAAAAGCGTATTCCTTAGAAGCTTTTCTGATTCTTGACATTATGACCAATTAGAAGCGCATTCCCTAGATGATTTTCCAGTTCTTGGCATAATGACCTATTAAAAGACGTATTCCTTAGAAGCTTTTCTGATTCTTGACATTATGACCAATTAGAATCGCACTCCTTAGAAGCTTTTCTGGTTATTAACATTATGACCAATTAGAATCGCACTCCTTGGAAGCTTTTCTGGTTATTAACATTATGACCAGTTAGAAGCGCATTCCTTGGACTTTTCTGGTTCTTGGCAGTTTATTTACTACTAGCTTACATGCATTAATGTGTTTTTGTCGTTTTTTATGAAGCCGTAGGTTTATCTTGAAATCAATATCTTACATTTTATAATGCGTTTTACGTACCTTGAAATATATAATTTCTAAAAAATGTATTCTTTAAAATCTTTGTTACCACATGTTCTAAACTAAACATACTTTATGTTTGAAACAGAAAATACGCCTCTACCATTTATTCGACGTGTATTTAAAGCAAAACTTCTACCAGTTATTTTCCACATGTAATGTACATTTGGGACTATTTATGTGCAAAGAAATGACTATTTTAAACGCATTTCATGTAAAAAAATTGCTCTTAACTTTATTCCATAGGATATTTATGTTTAAGTCAACACTTTCACCTTTCGCTCTAAACGTGTTTTTTGTTAGAATAATACATTTTTATATTAAACATGTTTTATGTAAATTATTGTATCCATATATTATGTTCAAAATAATTTATCCGTTATTCTATGCGTGTTTTATGTTAGAATAATATTTACCTCTGTATTCTAACCATGTTTTACATAAATTATTGTATACGTATATTATATTCAAAATACACATAACCTTTATTCTATGCATGTTTTATGTTTGCATGGTATTTTCCTCTTTATTCTAAGTGTATGTATATATATCATTGTGTATGTATATTATGTTTAAAATACATGTACCCTTTATTCTGTGCATGTTTTATATTAGAATAATAGTTAACTCTGTATTCTAAACGTGTTTTATAAAAAGTTAAACTATGTGTATTTTATGTTTCAAAATATATTTTGCTATTATTTTTATCGGCAACATAGAAATTAAAAATATATTTGTCCTTTATGTAAAACGTGGTTTTATTCATAATAGTGAAACAGTCATGTGTTTTATACAAAACAGTCTTCATAACATTTACCTCATATGCGCATCTTGTTTAAAGCGACTTTTTTATCATTTATTTTATGTATACATTTTAACGTATAAAATAATTCTATTCTTTAACATTTAAATCTATATATTTGAAAAAAAGTACCATTAACAAAAACGTTTATCCTTCTTCCTAAATGTTTTCCATTTAAATTAGTATCTTTACCTTGCTGCCAAATTCATCCATAACTTCATTACAGTCGTAGAATATCTCATTCTGTATGTAAAAAACTTCAGCTCGTCCATGGATCAACTGGACACTAGACACTCCAGAAGCTACAATCCATATGATGGCGATAATAATCCGGCCTCTGGTCTTAGTCCATTGAAAGCCAAGAGGATACATGATCGCGTAATACCTACGTGAAAACATCAATTTGACATTTTTTTTACTAATAAAATACATAAAGAATAAACATGATTAACATGGAAACATACTTCGTTTTATATAACATACCTTTCTTTCGAAATTGTCAAAGTTTCGCTTATTTTTAGCGGTAATAAGTTTAGGTGTGAGACTATTGCAATAAAAATTATCGCGTTATTATTTTATAGAATATTTTTCCTTCCCGCAAATGAAACTTTAAAATTTAAGAATTCTTCGCGTCCCTGATATTTCAACAACCTAGTTTAATGTGTTTCTCTAACGCTTTACATTTTCTATGTATTTCAGCTGTCTTGGTACAATGGTAGTAAAAAAGTGTTTAAATTAATAATAACAAATAATTATATAAGACATTCAAAGCAAAATTTTTCGAAGCAATGGGTTTTGTTAGGTAGAGTAAACCTAAATGTAAAAGACATCTCTTTCTATATATAATGCTTAACTTTATTCAGATATGAGTCGTCCTAACGAATTTTCCAAGGATGTGGGTCTAGACTGTGAATCCGAGGATTTATGATTCGCAACCCTTTACCGTAAAAATGCATTCCACTCTTTGGAATCGTGTGTGCGATACATTTGTTTTGTTTAATTTTGCGCGAAGTTACTCGACAACTATCTGCGCTAACCATTACTCATTTAGAAGTGATAGACTAGAAAGAAGACAGTTAGTCAACATCACCCATCGCTAACTCTTTGGCTACTCTTTTACGAACGAATGTGTAAAGTTTAGTATACTCTAATCCCTTATGGTGATGGCACACGACCAGACACACATTCAGCATGTAATGCTCTTTGAATAGAAGAAGGTAAACAACGCCTCTGTACCCACAAAGAATATCAAAGAAGTTTATGGGAATGTTTTGAGCATTTGTAAGTGTCAACGAGGGTTCAGCAAATTTCGTTCAAGTTACTTTAGCCTTAAAAACTGTGATGGCAGAAGCCGACATGTTGGAATTGATACTGATGCTCTGAAGACGCTTGTTGAGTCGAACCCAAGGCAACTCACTCGTGAAATGGCCCTCAAATTGCACGTCTCTCATGAAACAATACGTAAACATTTAAGGAATATGGGAAAAACTCCACAAAGAAGGTGTTTGGGTGCCTCACGAACTCTCCGATGATCATCGTTTCCTACGTGTGAACGTTGCTTCGTCTCTTCTGGCGCGGAATGCGCGTGAACCATTTTTGGACAGAATTGTCACCGATGATGAAAAATGGAATCTCTATGCGAATATAAAACGCCAAAAGCAATGGCTCAGTCCTCGACAAAATCCACCTCCGACTCCAAACCTGGACTCCATCCGCAGAAAGAGATGCTTTGCATTTGGTGGGACATCAAAGAAGTAATTCATTTCGAACTCCTCAATCCACAGCGAACTGTCAAAGTAGAGGTCTATAGTCAGCAACTGGAACGTTTAAATCAAGCCCATCATCAGAAACGCCCTTCACTCGTGAATCGGAAAGGTGTTCTTCTTCTCCACGATAATGCACGTCCACATGTGGCGCATTTAACGCAACACAAGATTATGAAGTTTGGTTGGGAAGTTCTTCCCACCCACCATATTCTCCAGATATGGCACCATATGTGTAAGATGTTAAAAAGGACATCGATATGATTTTTGCTTCAAAGCCAAGTAATTTCTTTAATCAGGGCATTAACAACCTGGTTGTAAGATGGAAAAGCATCGTCGGTAAGTATGGAGACTATTTCATTTAATAAATGTTTTGTTTTGATATATAAGTCATCGGGTTTTTTTTCGTCTACAAAAAAAAGCGACATCAATTTCTTGACGACCTAATACATTGTAACTGAGTCAAGTGGAAATATTTGGCTTCTTTTCTATATCACTTATTGGAATAATAATTTTGTCATTTGTGAGTCAAGTGGAAATATTTGGCTTCTTTTCTATATCACTTATTGGAATAATAATTTTGTCATTTGTAAGTAAAATAGTTCCATAGAATAACAAAATAATTTCAATTTTTTTTTCTGCTGTGCACTAAGTAGTAAAGAAGAAAAGTTTCAATAGACTGAATTAGTAATTACTAAGTTAAAAATATCCGCATGTCAACTGTTAACATATTCCAACGACAGAGCTGGGATGCAGTCATGCTTCCATATTTACTTCAAGTGGAATTCTTGTTACGTCGTATGAATTCTTGCGGCGTCCTTGGTGCGAATATATATTTCATAAGAATTTTAGAGCTAGAAGTCAGTGTGAGTACCACTTTAGAACGCGTCAGATTAGCTGACTTTAACTGCGTCTCTACTATAACTTCGTATACTTTTCTTGTTTTCGTTTGACATGTAGCACATTTATGAATCAATGAGTCAACAATTAGCCGGATTTTACGGCACCTTTTAACATGGAATTCAGTAGTTTTAAACAAGTAACCTCGAGTCAAAATATAGTTTTAACATGTTTCGAAGAAAATAAGCACAATAATTTGTATCATTCGCTTTTTTTTAGTCATAGTCTTAAGAGATAATAACTAAATACAAACACGATTTTTTAAAATAAATTTAGTAGAGGAGAAATGTGTTAATAATTTGCATGATTTGTTCCCAAATATGTATCATATTTTGTCAATTCTGATAGTTTCCAAAATATTAACACTTTGCACACATATTAGTCACTATTAACATTCCTCTTTAACAAAATGCATTTTGGAATAACGTTTAAAACATTAATTGGTCAAATATTAAAATATCATTTTAATATAATTCTTATAATCATCACAAAAATATTTTGAAATAAAATAATTTAAACTTAGACCTACCCTACGTTAAACTAAGAATTTCGTACTCCATATTGTGTTATATGCTAATAAGAAGCTTGTTTCAATGTGTCTTTCGCCCCCCCCCCCCCATTCTTAAGCCTAGTATAGACTTTCGTAGACATACTATGGAGTGTGATTATAATTGGCTTTTTCATCGTTTGTCAATCAGTGATTTAATTTTATGTTGATATTGAATATAAATATAAATCGTTATATATATAGTTTAATCTTATGTTTATACTGGATATAAATATAAATATAGTTATATATAGTTTAATCTCATGATGATATTGAATATAAATATAAATATAGTTATATATAGTTTAATTTTATGTTGACATTGAATATAAATATAAATATTGTTATATATAGTTTTATCGCATGGTGATATTGAATATAAATATAGTTATATATAGTTTAATTTTATGTTGATATTGAACATAAATATAAATGTAGTTATATATAGTTTAATCTCATGGTGATATTAAATATAGTCGTATATAATTTAATTTTATGTTGATATTGAATATAAATATAGTTATATATATATAGTTTAATCTTATGGTGATATTTAATATAAATATAGTTATATACAGTTTAATTTTATGTTGATATTGAATATAAATATATAGTTATATATGCCAAGACAGCGTAGTAGAAAGAAACAAGATATATTTATATGGAATATATAAACGTCTAAATTGCACTGACTTTTTAAATAAAGTGAAACTAATTATTTTCTTCATAACAAACATGCTTGTACGAGAACATGTTGGTACAGCATATGTGATTGGAAAATAAAGCATAGAGAGTATGCTATTTAATCCACAGGCAGCTGGTTATATCTAAGAATGACGTCAACGATCATGGAACGTACAATTAAAAGAATAACACTATCAGTCAATTGAATTCTGTCAATAAAAATAAATTTAAGAAGCAGGGTGTTGTAAAAAACCAGAAAATATTTCAACAAGTGAGCGTTAAAAAACCCTGTCAATACCAGAAAGAGTGTTATCAACTATTGAAAAAGGAGCACTTCAGAAAGCAAACACTATTACAAAATCACTATCAAAGAAATAGAGATTCCACCATCAACAAATACAAACGTTTCAACAAGTTGAAGTAAGACGTTGTTGATAAGATTAATACTATCAACAAAAAGACAATTACGGGAAGCATAAACACTGCAAATAAAAATTGTTAACAAGTGCAACACTAAGAACGAGCAGAACGTTGTCAGTAAACAGAATACTGTCAATAAAAGGAAAGAGTATACTAACGAGAAGAACGTTGTTTAGAAGAAGAATACTGTCAACAAGCGAACGTTTTAAAAAGTAAACATTGTCAACAAGTAAGACACTGTAAATAGAATGTGCTATCAACAGGCAGATCCTGTTGAAACAAAACACTGTCAATAAACACGAAGAACACCGCCAACAAGTACAGATCAACAAACAGATTGTTAGAAACAAGATACTATCAGCAAGTGGACAGTTTATAAAGTAAAAACTTGGCAATAAACAGAAAAGACCACTGCCAAAATGTAGGACATTAAAGAACTGAGTTAAACTACACACAAGATCCACCATAAATTACTGAAATATTATACATTTCAGTAAGGAAATTTCCAAAATACACGCCCAGTGGAAATAAAATCTTTGTGAAGCATGTTTAAATCATTAATCAGTTCTAGCACTATCTCTACTATGTACAATACCCTAGTAATTAATGTATTAAAAAAAAACATCTTGTGCCGACGAGTTAACTGGGATCTAGATTACTTTCCTACCAATAGAAGGTTCTCCTTTGTTGAATCACCTAACGACAGGTAAATACTTTAAATATCTAAATTTCATGAAAATTATTGATTGAAACAGTACTGGTTTATTTCGAATTTTTTGCTTTAAACCATCCCTATATTTGAACAGATAGTCTGGAGGAAAAAGAATAACACCCACCGCCAACTTTTGGGCTACTCTTTTCTAAATAAATCGTGGGATTTTACCGTTGCTCTTACGGTGCAACGTGGGCTCCCAATTGCGAAGTCGTTTTTATTATAACAACGGTCTGCAAGACATAAAACACTCGAATTTACAGTCTGGGCACACTAACTACCAGGCCACGCTCGACATAATTAAGATCTAGCTTAATTCTATTATCAGTAGGAGATCCTCTTTGAACAAACATAATCTC